ATCCCAGCCGGAAGATGGCCAGGCAGTTGCTGAGGCAGAGCCTCTTCTGCAGGAAGGACACGCACACGGTGAAGATGGAGGGGATCTGGAACATGTTGGCCACGGAGAAGATGTCCTGCACGTTCTGCTCGGTGATCTCCAGCTCGGAGGTGTAGATGTAATGGAGGATCTTGCCCATGACGTCTGGGTCGACATCTTCCAAGCTGACCTCCCTCTTCTTGCTCTCTTCCATGTCTGAGAGGAACATGGCCCGGAAATACGGGCTGCAGGCTGCCAGCACCAGCCGATGGCAGGGAAACTCCTTCCCTTTCACTTTCAAAACACAGTCCAGAAACTTATTGTGGTCCAGCATGTCTTTGAGTCCGTCCTGGAGAAGAGTTTGCTGGTAGAGACGCAATTCTTCCACTTGATCAAGAGGCAAACCCATGGTGATGAGTAACCGCTCGTTCTTTGCCCCAATCCTTCTTTTATGGAAAAATATTGGTGGCTATACCTAAACCTGAGCAAAGAAACTTGCCCAAAGCAGAGCTCGCTGCCTCAGGAGCTTCCAGACCGCTGGCACACCGGGAATGTGAAACGCTCGCTACGCTCCCAGCTGTCTGTGCACTTCAGTTTCCAGCTTGGGACTTTATATATAGACACAGCACGGCAGAGCTTAAGGAATCCATACTGCAGCATGTGTAAGCCGATCACCCTTTAATATGACACATTGGACAAGGAGGAGGGGAGGAGGCCGGGGGAACAGCTGTAATTCCAGCCTCAGTAATTCAGGAAGGGTCTGTCAGCTCGTGAGTCACCGCGGGGAGAGCAGGAGGTTTGGCTGCTGTGACACCACGGGGGACACGTGCCACCCATGGCCTCTGGGTGAATCTAACAGCCCAATCTGCCTTTTGGATCATGAGTGGAAAGGCTGGGGTTTCCTCCTGATGATGCTAAATGGGCTCCTCTGAAAGTGCTGGACTTTTAGCCATGCTAAAAATAGGCTATGAAGTCAAAGCTGGAAGGATGTGCTAAGGGAGGGTCTTGTGTGGGCTTTATGGCATCCCCATCTCTAGCCAGCTCCCACCCAGGGCTGCTTTGCTGCACAGGTTTGTCTTTATTCTCCTCTGGAGTCACTTTTCAGGGGTCTGGAAAGGGATGAGAAATGGAGATAGAGCTGTCTTGTATCCTGTATGGGATACGAGATCTGTGCTGGAAGTTCCTTTAAAATCCTCACTAAAGCAGGAGAATTGAGGACTGTGGGAGAGGAATGGCTCTTTTTCCCTGCAGTAGGTGGTGGAGTCACCATCCCTGGAGGTGTTAAGGAAAGACTGGACACAGCACTCAGGGCCATGGTCTGGTTCAATCACAGACTGGAGTCAACCCCAGAGCTCCTTTGCAGCCTCACTCATTCTGTGACTCTGCCATACATGCAAATGTATGGCACCTTGAAAAGAAAAAAAAGAAATCCATCCTTTCCAGATCCTGGTGACAGAGAGAGTATCTGACACAGAACAGAAGCAGCCCACCCAGGGCTGCTTTGCTGCACAGGTTTGTCTTTATTCTCCTCTGGAGTCACTTTTCAGGGGTCTGGAAAGGGATGAGAAATGGAGATAGAGCTGTCTTGTATCCTGTATGGGATACGAGATCTGTGCTGGAAGTTCCTTTAAAATCCTCACTAAAGCAGGAGAATTGAGGACTGTGGGAGAGGAATGGCTCTTTTTCCCTGCAGTAGGTGGTGGAGTCACCATCCCTGGAGGTGTTAAGGAAAGACTGGACACAGCACTCAGGGCCATGGTCTGGTTCAATCACAGACTGGAGTCAACCCCAGAGCTCCTTTGCAGCCTCACTCATTCTGTGACTCTGCCATACATGCAAATGTATGGCACCTTGAAAAGAAAAAAAAGAAATCCATCCTTTCCAGATCCTGGTGACAGAGTATCTGAGGCAGAACAGAAGCAAAGGAAATGCAATGGTGGGCTTCAACTCACAGATTAAGACATCTAAACACAAATACTTTCTAGGAAATTGAGGGTCTCCTGCTCAGGCCTTCTGGTTCATCACTCCCCTCTGTGAAGTCTAGAGGCACAGCAGGACAACATGCCTGGCCTGGAGCTGATGCTCCAGAGTGGCTGAGCTCTCCAGCAGCTCTTGTGTCCTGCTTGCCTAGCCATGGATGTCCAGGAAGTCCCCTGGGTCCCCAAATGGCCAGTCCAGGTTCAGCTATTCCCACAGAGCTCACAAAGAAGCAAATTAGTTTTGACAGACATGGGTGAGCAGAATAGCTATAATTATTTATACCCATAGTAAAACTTGCACATGAATCTGTTTTATCTCTTGCTGTGGACCCTCTGGGCTGTCTGACACTCAGTGATGGCACAGATTTAATTAACGATTTAATTAAGTCTATGAAAAAATATTAGCCATTATTCTTGGTGTATTTAAAGCCACACAACCCCTTACCCTGGCAGGGATGTGTTTGTAAAAATTGCCATGATGGTTATCTCTAGAAGAAGGAGGGAGCTACACCAGTATGAAGCCCTTCTGAACTGGTGTGGTTCCAGCAGCATCTGGGAGGTACCAATACAGCAAGGAAATAATCACAAGCTGTTTTCAGAGCTCACATCATGAGCTCTGCTGTGCTGCTCATCTGGGACAGGATCAAGCTCCGAGCGTTGAACTGGGTTGAACTTCAGGAATCTTTGCTCCCTGACATCTGGGGCTGGCCAGCCCCACCCTCCCCTCTCTGCCCCCTCTGCATCAGCTCTGTGCCATCCCAAGTTTAATCCTGTGTTGTTGTGCCACCAGCTGGGATTTCCCCCCTCCCTCTGCCTTTAATCTCCCTTGAGCCCTGCCTCGTTTTCCTTTTTGTTGTGCTGCCATCTGAGTTTTGCTTCCTTATCCCCCACGCCACGAGGTGCCACTGCTAAAATTCAGCCGGAGCCCTTCCCTGAGGAGCTCTGGCACCTGGTTGGTCTCTGGCATCTTCCAGGTTGGTGGCTCACCCAAGGAAAGGGCACTGTGCTGGTCCCAAACCTGCCCTGGGCACTCCAAGGGCTTCAGTGGCTTTGCCCAGCAGCTGGAGCTGCTCCAAGGCTTGGGGAAGCAGCCCTGGTTTTCCAAGAGGCTGGGTGCACTGTCCCCCAGATCTGACAGGGCCACAGCCAGGGATTTCCAATGACCAGAGGGCTCCCACAGTCATTAAATGTGTCCCCAAGTGGGCAACAGTCCCCCAGGACATGGGAGTGGGTGGAGGTCCTGGTTTCATCTGGGAGAGGTAATTTTCCTCCTACAGTGCTGTGTTTTGCCTGATTTAGGATGAGCATAATGCTGATAACTCACCAGTATTTTTGCTCCTGCTGTAATTCTCACCCCGAGTCAAGGATTTTCCACCTCTCACACTCTGCCAGTGAGGAGCTACACCAAATGCTGGGAAGCAGCGTGGCCAGGAGAGCTGACCCAAGCTGGCCAGAGGGATAGTCCATACCACAGAACATCATTTCCAGGACACAAACTGTGGAAATTACCAGAAGGGAGCCAGTTTGCTGTTTGGGGACAGGCTGGGGCATCAGCCAGTGGGCAATGAGCAATTGTGTTGTGCAGCACTTGTTCCTCTTGGGTTCTGTTGCTTTTTCTCCTCTCCTTGTCATTATTATTATCATCATTATGTTTTGTTTCAAATGTTAAACTGTTCTTATCTCAACAGATTTACCTGTTTACCTTTTTTTTTCTGATTCCCCTCCTTATGGAGTTGAGGGGGAGTGAGTGAGTGAGAAGCTGTGTGGGATTAAACCACAACAGTGAGGATACACAGATGCATCCTAAAGGGATGCAGTGCTGCAGGATCACTCCCACCCGTACAAAATGCTAGAACAAAAGGGATGGATGAAGGAATTTCAGCCATTCAGGCTGCACAAGAAAGCATCCAGTGTAAAGCTATTAAATGGGATCTGTAATTACAATAAAAAATTGCTCTTCTTGGCTTCTTGGTAGTTTTATGAAGGTGCAGGCAATAACCAGAGGGGATGAAATGAGAGATGAGCAGTGGATAAATCCCATCCTAGAGAGGCATTCAGTGAGGCTGAGGGTGTCCTGTGCAAGGCTGAGCTGACTGAGACAGCACCATGGGACTCCTGGCCCACCAGACCTCCTGGGCTAGTCAGAGCAGCAAAAGCTGAAGGGATAACTCCTGGAAAAGGAGGGCAAAGCCCAAATTCTCCTATGAACTGTCTCTAACATCACTGGCTGGGTTGGTGTCTAAGATTAGCTCCTTCTGGCAGCTTCAGCAGATGCAGCTGCTGGGTAAATATAGACTCTTAGTGAATGGGCTATTTTTCTCTCCTGAAGTATCCAAGTCAGGAGGGCAGTGCAGAGTCACTGGGCTTTGCCATGTGAGTCACCCACTTCAGCACTGGGAGGTGACTCTGTCCTCCCAGGCTGAGCCACCACAGGGACAGAGCCCTTGGTGTGCCAGCAGCTCAGGGAGGTGCCACCTGTGCAAGGACACCCCTAGGGAGGGCAAGAGATTTATCCAACCCTGCAGGAAGCTCAGGGTGGCAGAGCTGGTTTGATGGGGAAAGTAAATCTGAAATAGTGGAGACGCCAAGGAACACCTATGAAAAGTCCAGCAGTGACAGATGTGTCAAAAAGGGATGTGACAAGATGCCACCAAGGCACAAAACCTGCCCCTTACTCCCAGCATTGTTGGTCAGGCTCTCAAAAGTAAAATCAACCTGGTTTCTGACCCAAAACCCACATGGGTGACAGTTTGCTGGCCACAGGCTACAGATACATACGAAAGCAAAGTCAAAATAAAGCTGAATATGAATCCAGCTGCAGCCCAACCTTCAGTCTGGTGATGACAAATGGCTTTCTGCTGAAGTCACAAATGTCTTGTGTCACTCTTGGGGGGGCAGGTGAGGACCTGCAAACAGATCCTTGTCCTCTCAGCTCTGGTGGCTGGGTGTTTCCAGGGCTGTCACCAGCAGCCAGCAGCATCAACAGGGATGAGCAGCAGGTGCCAGAGTTATCCAATATTTATTGGCTACATAAATAAGAGACATTTACCAGGGACTTCACAAATTACTTTGGCAGAGCTGAAAGCTGGCTAGGAACCCATCCTGCTTCCCCCACAGGGATGCACCAAGGTCTCAACCCCCTTTGCAGAGGGGTGTGGATCCTGCCCCCAAACAGACATAACTCAGACATAAGGCCACTGAGAGTTACTCTAAAGTGCAAGAGAGCCAGAGCTATTTTTGTGTCACAAACCCACCTTTTCCCCCAAGGCACTGTGTTTCACACACTCCCAAAGTCTGATTCTCCAAGGAGTCTCCCATGGGCTTTCCCTCCACCACCCAGCCCCAATCCCTGACCTTCAGCTGGGGTTTTTCTTTCCTTTGATTGTGTTCAGCTGTGTGCTCACTCAGCCCTGCAGCTGGGCTGTGCACACCAAAGGCAGCTGGGGAAAGGGATGGGGTGGCTGGAGGTGAGCAAGGGGTGGCTACAGCACGTTCTGCCCCTCAGCCACGGGCAGGAATGTGAGCTTAGACCTTTGTCCATGGCATGTAAAAAAAGTGAGGTGGGGTTTGGCTTGAGTCCCAGCACACGTGTCACAGCAGGGTGGTCTTGGTGGGCACAGCAGTCTCAGATCCAACAGTGCAGAGCCATAAAACCTCCAGCCACGGGGCCTGGAGAGTCTCCTCTGGGAGATATGGGCTGAGGGGGAGCCCAGTGCTGGTGCACCAAGCGTTGTGGGAAGCAGGGGGTGAAACCTCTGGGTCTGCACACTGTCAGAGGGTCAGGAAAACAATGGGGATGGCTCTGGCATGGAAGAAACGTCCTGAGAGCTGCCTCAGCATCCTGCCACGCCTGGGGAGACCGTGAAACACCCGCTGTGCCTGATGGAAAATCTTCCCTGCAGCAAGGGGGTGACCTGTGCCTTGCAGGCGACTTCTACGTGGATGAGCTACAGCAGTCCGGTTGTCAGGAGGCCTTGGAGAGCCCTGGCCTGGCAGCAGTGGCTGGAAGGGAGACGAGGCTTCAGGACAAGCCTGTGGTGCCTCCCCTACTCCACCTTTGCCTTGTCACCCTTCTCCTCCTCCTGGATGGCCAGGATGCGCTCGCGCTCCTTGATCAGCTGCACGCCACAGTACGTGATGAACCAGATGGACAAGGTGCTCTCGGGGAAACCTAGAGCAGGGAGGAGACGTGGTCATCCAGCTGTGCTCCTCGAACAGGGCCAGCCCTTCACCTGCACAGCTGCCTCTCAGGTGGGCTGGGGAGGTCCCACAAGCTCATGGTGGCCAGTGACATTTTTCGTCATCGATCCAGCTCTGCAGCTTCACTGAGAGAAGAGGGAAATCCTCAGCATTGGATTTTAGGTGAAGCTGTGCCTGAGCCCACCAAGGAACAGTGGACTGCAGCTAAGAGGGGACATGCTGGAGGGGTTTTGAGCTCACCTTACCCCCAAAAATCCTTCTGGTCACCAAGTTCAGAAGTCATAATTGACTTTGTGCCCACTGAACCTGCCCATGTCCATCGTTGCTCAGCATTGTGACCTTCTGGAAGCTTTGGGCCCCACTGATGCTGAGGATCAACCCCAGCCTTGTCCTGCACTTAGTGGGGACACAGTGTCCGCCCAGGAAAATACATATTTTTGTCACCTACGTCAGTGACAGAGCCCAGAGCTCTCCCTCCTCTTCGGAAGGGTCTGAGGGTGTTTGCAGTCACAAATCTGGTATCCACAGCAGAGGGGTGGATCCAGGGTTTGTTCCTGCTAAAACAGGAGCTGTGCAGTGAATAATGCAACCAGCAAAAGGCAGCCAGCTCAGCGGGCAGGCACTCCTGGCACACCGAGTGTGACATTATCCATCCCCATCCCAGAGAGGGCTGCAGGATGGCTATTTATACCCTGCGCAGCTCAAGAAGGCTTCAAAACAGTGCCACAATCCACTGATTAGAAATGTACAGACTGCAGGATGAGGATTTGTGCCTGTCACCTTTGGATGATGCAGGATGTCTGCTGGAGCAGAGGAAATGAGGAGTCAATCCCTTTCTCCAGCAAGGGGGCCATTTCACAGGCAGGGACTCAGTCCTGCTTGGTGAGGTGAACGTGACCTCTGCAGTGCTCCAGGGAGCCTAAACCAGGCTCAGGCTGGGCCAGGAGCTGTACAAGCCCACCTGGCAGGCAGCTGGTACCCCAGAACACTCAGTGAGGAGCACGGGGAGCTAAGAAACCCCTGCCTGCACTTTTTGCATGAGAATTAAGGACATTTGGAGCAGCCACATCACAAGCCAGTGTCCAGGACACCTTGGACCCAAAAGGATTCAACATCCCAGTCCTCAGCTCCCATAGCAGTTAAGACAGGGGTGTCTCAGTGGGGAAGGCTGGCAGCACCTTACCCATCACGAGGAGTCTCTTGGTCACCAGCAGTGCAAACTCCAGGCTGTTGAGGGCCAGGATGTTGTAGAGCACGATGGCCCAGAAGTTCACTGCCCCAAAAGCCGCCCTGATCCGCCGAGACATGGCCCCTGACAGCTTGGCCTGTGGAGGAGAGAGGAGCAGAGGGAAAAGGGTCTGTGAGGAAAAGGAGGTGACCAGGGCAACCCCAGCTGGAATTCTAGAGAGGAGGCAAAAATTAGAGCAGTTTTTAGTGCATGGAGGAGAGAGGAGCAGAGGGAAAAGGGTCTGTGAGGAAAAGGAGGTGACCGGGGCAACCCCAGCTGGAATTCCAGAGAGGAGGCAAAAAATCAGAGCAGCTTTTAGTGCCTCTGGAATGAAGAAATAAAAGGACAAAACTGCTCTGCTGCCTTAGGGACTCTGGGCTGGGTCCCATGGGTAGGGGCAAGATGTTAGACACAGTTTTATGGTTATTGTAGAATCACATGCACATGGAAGGGTTTGGGTTGGAAGGGATCTTAAGGATCATCCATTCCACCCCCTGTCTTGGGCAGGGACAGCTTCCACCATCCCAGGGTAATCCAAGCCCCATCCAGCCTGGCCTTGGACACTTCCAGGGATCCAGGGATAGCCACAGCTTCTCTGGGCACCCTGTGCCAGGATCTGACCATCCTCACAGGGAAGAATTCCTTCCCATGATCCCATCTCACCCTGCCTCTGTCAGTTTAAATCCATTACTCCTTGTCCTGTCCCTCCACATCCTTGTCACAAGTCCTTCTCCAGCTCTCTCAGATCCTCTTTAAAATGAAATCGTCGAGTCCTGCTTTCTCCACCTCTTGCCACTCCTCAAGGCAGAAAAATCTGTTGTATCCCAGGATTATTATTATTAGCCCTAAATGCAAATCACTCCTGGCAAAAATAGTTTCTTGGGAATTAAAAAAAAAAAAAAAAAAGCAGAAAGAGCTCAAAACCCAATGACAGCAGCAGAGTGGAATTATCAGTGGCACATAATCTCCAGGATGAGCTGCTGTGAGTGGAGCAGGGAAGGAGTTACAGCAGCCTGCAAAGAGCACGGTGAGCCCCAGGCTGCTCCAGGCTGGGATTTGTGGTGCCACGGGGAAGGAGATTTCACCGCCTGGAGAGCCTGGATCTGAGCAGGAGTTCAACCAGGAGAGCAAACGGCAGGATTGCTCTCCACGGTTTTTATTCAAAATACATCTTCAACTAATTGAGGACCTCCAGGGTTTAAATTGGGAAAAAGGAATAAGGAACTTGTGATAATTTATTTGTGGGGAATTTTGGAAGGAATTTGAGATGGGATTTTTGAATTGGTTTTGATGATGTGGTTTATTTTTTTTTATATTTTATTTTTTATATGTGGTTTATGTTTTATATCTTTATTTATATTATATATTTATTTTTATTTTACTTTGATGATTGGTTTATATATATATTTTTATATACTGGTTTATATCTATTTATATATTTATATTCATTTATATTTATGTTCATAATTATATTTATAGTTACAGTCGTAGTTATAGTTCTTTTTAGCCTTATTTATTTTGATGATGTGGTCTCTTAAAATATATTTTTATTTTTTATATTTATATGGTTTATATATTTTATATTAATATTTAATTTTTTATAGGTAGGAAGGGTAAATTTAGCTTATATAATACGGTTTAAAAGGTTATAAGATTTTTCGTTATAAGATTGAAGAAGTTATTGATTAATAAAAGATTGTTAATAAGGATATTTATGTTTTCATTTAGTTTTAAAATATTTTGTTGTATGGATTTGTGTTGTAGTGTAAGTTTTTTAGTTAATTGATATATATAATACATAAATTATAAATTATATAAATTATATATAATTATAAATTATATAAGATACATTTATATATTATCTAAAATTATATAATGACATATAAATTATATATAAAATATATATATTATAGATATGTTGATATAAAAATTATAATATTGTATTTTAATTTTTGTTTATTTTTGTAGCTATTTTACTTTTTTATATTTTAAATTTTACACCTTCACATTTTTAAAATTTAGTTTAACATGGTTTTGTTTTAAATTATAAATTTATGGTTTTAGTATTTAAGGTTGGAAGTTTTTTAAAAAGTTTTAGATTGAGTCTTGGGTTTAATTCTAAGCTTGGGTTTACAGGTCTAAAGTTCTTAGAGTTTCTTGCATTTTGCATTCCAACAGGAAGGTAAATGTTTTCAGGGTGGAAGTTTTAAAGATTTTTTATTTTTCCAGTATGTCCCTGAGACACCTTGGTCCCAAACAAAGACAGGGCACGAATTATTAAAATTATTATTAAATTATTAATATTTTAAAATAATTTGTTCTAGCATCCAAACGCTTGCTTTTAAAAGAAATCAGATCAAAACCAATGAGAATGACAAGATGATTTGCAAAGGGCCCCAGAACAAGAAGAACAAATGAATCCCATAAGGAAATATATAAACACTTTCCCATAGGATCTGGATATTCCCCATGGAATATTCCCCATATGCATAGACGTATTCCCAAGGACAGATACTGACAGATATCTCATATTTTCTGTCCATCTGTGGAACTTTGATTCCTCATTGGAGATGCATTCCTGCTTCTCTTGCACCTCTGTTTTCCCCCTGGAATTTCCACCCAATCTAAATTCCCCGTGAAGCAGCACAGGGGCAGGAATTTGTTTGCCGTGGGTGGGAGAAAAAGTGCATGGGATGAAGGGACACAGAGCACAAGGACTGTGCCTCCCTTGCACAGCTCAGTAGCTGATCCCAAGGATTATCCAGGGATGTCACCATCCCTGGAAAAGTTTAAAAAAATATGTGGAAGCAGCACTTGAGGATGTGGTGGACACTGTGGTGATGGTGCTGGGACCCTGGGCTGGGTCCCATGGGTAGGGGCAAGATTTTGGACACAGTTTCATGGTAATTGTGGAATCACAGACACATGGAAGGGTTTGGGTTGGAAGGGATCTTAAGGATCATCCATCCCACCCCCTGCCTTGGGCAGGGACACCTTCCACCATCCCAGGGTGATCCCAGAGAGGAGCCAAAAGGGCAAAAGACAGCTGGACTTGATGGTCTTTTCCAGCCTTAATGATTCCATGATTGTGAAGGCCACAGGAAAGACCTCCAGGTCTCCAGGCAGGAGGCCAGGCCCTGGAGCTCCATGGCATCCTCAGGGATTCTGCTCCTCTTCCTCAACCAAAAACCTGACCCCTACAACACAGACTGAGCTCTCTTCAGGCACAGATATCCCCCAGCACCAGAGCTTATTTCCAGCCAGAGATTGTTTATCCAGCATGTGAATTGTTTTTTCTTAATGACCAACCACAGCCAGCTGTGTCGGACTCTCTGAGGAGTCACGACTTTTTATTTTTGATTCCTGTTAAACCTTCTGATGTATCCTTTCTCTATAGTTTAGTATAGTTCTAGTATATAATATAATAAAATAAATATAATATAATTAATATAATATGATATATCAGCCTTCCAAGAATATAGAGTCAGATTCATCTCTTCCTTCGTCCTATAACCCTCACAAACACCACACTCCCTGTAGTCCAGGAGACCCCTCTGGAGTTTCTTTTCCCAAGTTCCTCACAGACAGGTCAGCCCAGAATATCCCAGTAAAAACAGAAGGATGTTCTGGCAATAAACTGATTTTTGCTGTGCCCCAACCGCTTGTGACTTGTGTTCCTACAAACCTATAAATACTCAAGGACAAAATATCCACCTTCCCCGCCCTGTCAGGTAAAACTTGGGGTCTCTCAGACCTGCTGGTGCTCAGGATTTTATCACAAAGCAGCCACCACCCCCCTCAGTAGAGGTTTGCTGGTGTCAACTCACGGATGGAGGGAGGTGAAGGGCTGAGGAAGATGCAGGTGGAGCTACAGTGCTCAGTTCCCATTTCCTCTTGGAGAAATGTAAAGCTGGCTCTTCCTCCTCTGGGGGAATGCTAAACCCAGCAGATTTAAAGTGATTTTGGGACAGCAAAAAATTCATTCCCAGCTTTGGAGGAGGGGGCTGTTCTTTCTGCAATTAATTCAATGGCTCTGAGGCTAAACAGAGCAAATAGGGGGATTTATCCAGAAGAGAGGACACCCCAGCCTTGGGATGAACAGCATGAGAGGCTTCATTGCTTTGGGATGGAAGGGAAGACCCTGAACCAGACTAGAGGTGATCAACTGGACACTTACTTGCACAGCCAGTCATTAATCCCTCTGTCAAAATGCCTAAAATAAGATGATAAGAACATGTTAAAACACACAATGACAATAAAAACCTGTGGAAACAGAGAAAACACCCAATCCCCTGGCAAGGCACATCTTGGACCTTGCTCACAGAAATCCTCCAGGCTCCTTCCTTGGACGGATGCCACTGGAGACGTGGTTTAACTTTTCTCCTTATCTATTTCTCCCCACCTAAGAATATTTCCCTGGGTTCTGGCCAGGTCTAGGCTATGGTTTCAGGTGGTCTCCAGCTCACAGAGCAGCTGCCCAGGACAGCCCAGGTGTTCTCCCCTCCACGCAGGTCCTGTCCAGCTCAAACAATCCTCATTCAGGGTACTCACGTTTCAGCAAAGATGTAGAGCATGGTGATGCATTTTGGGGGCTGGGGTGGGTCCAGGTGGTCCAGTCTGGCGATGGTGTTGATGACCCCAAACATGACAGCAGCTTTCACCCAGTCATACACCAAATTAGAGTAGGCCAGGCCAGCTGGAGCAAAAATGGGAGTCAAACGGGGAAAAAGGAACATGGAATGTATCAGGATTTCTGCAGAGCAAATAATTTAAAACTAAGTTTTTTAAGAGGCTTGAACCAAAGGACAATTTCTTCTCGGGGTACGAGGGAGCAAACTGCTTATTGGTTTTAGTCCAAGAAATTCTGTTTATGCAGTAATTTATTCCATCATTGTTCCTTCTCTCTGAGGCTTGTTAAGCAATTCTCAGGTCTGCCCTCTGAGCTTTTATTGGCACCTCCATCAAAATTCCCCCCACCCCAGCTCCCTCTGGCCATGGATGTCCATGCTACAGAGCCAGGGTCAGAACCTCTGACTTAGAGAGGTGTCTGACACTGGGAAGCAAACCCTGCAGGGACAGCTACTAAAGATTTCAAATGTCTCTGCAAAGAGCTGTTAAAATGCCCCTGTGTTGGTGGGATCCAGCTCCCAGATTAAGGGATGCTCCCACCTTGGTCAGTACAGCCAGAAGAGCTCAGCTCCCCCTGGAGTAACACAGGATCTGTCTAGCCAGGGCTCTTGGGACACCCTAAATCCATGTTAGTGCCACTGCAGCTGCATCAGGATTTTATCCTGGCCTCGAGCTGCCGCTCTGGAGAGACAGGGGGCTCCTCCAGCCCCTGCTTGGCCTCTGCTGTGTGGTGGTGTCTGAAACGCTGCCATCAGACATGGATTTTGTCATCTGGAACCCTCCATGCAGCTGCCAGCTGAAGGCCAGTGCTGCTCCCATCACTTACCCTGGGAATTTGCCTTCTGGAGGTCTCTAGCCCAGCCATGCTTGGAGAACACCCAGCTTTAGGCAGAGATTACACTGCCCTGGACATTGTCCATGTAAGTGTTGAATAGACTCTTTTGGGACAATCCATGGGCACCTCTCGCACCTCTGCCAGTGTTTGACCACTCTATGGACAACTTTCCTTACATGCAATCAGGCTTTGTGTCGTTGGGTGTGGTTTGCTGTGTCCTGCTGATTTTTTTAGTTGTGCTGAGCTCCCTCCCAGTCCAAAGGCAGCAAAAATATCTTGGTGCTCATCTTCCTAACCCCCAAACTAAACAATTTACCCTGTGAAAAGGCCAGACCAGCACCACGTGCCTTCCAGGGCTGCCCAACCCAGCTTTGTGCGTGGCCAGCATGAGGATGAGGGGTTCTTACTCAAACCTGTCCAACACAGGCATTCCCAAAGCCTCTCAAGGGGGGTGGATGGAGATCTGGATCACTCACCACTGCCTTGGAGCTGAGAGCAGGGGTGAACGTGCCCAAGCACGGCCACTCACCCAAGGACCAGTCCGAGAGGCGGTTCACGAACTTCAGGTCAGAGGGCAGGGTGAGGATGTAGAAGAAGTGGAAGAAGATGTCCACGGCCACGATGGCCCCCACGTGGAGCAGGGCATTGACACGGATGCTCTTCATCTCGTCGTCCTTGCGCCTCAGCTCTCGGGTGCTCACCTGCAGGGAGGGACAGGATGGGCATTGTTCCTTCATCCAGAAGGACGGCCAAGGTGCAGACAGGGATTGATTCATCATTCTCCTTTAGAGGTCACGCCATGGACTGTGTGGCCCAAATTTCCACTGATTAAAGAAGACCCAAGGGCTGGCTCAGGTGAGCACATGCACAAGGAACAGGACGTGTCCCACCCACAGCAGGGCTGAGGACAGCAGGGATGTCCCTGCTGCATCATCCTGCTGTTCCCTGGGGTTTCCCAGCAGAGGAGGTGTGGAAACCCAGGGCATTGGGAATATTTCTCTGTCTGCTCTGGGGTGCCCTGACCCCCAGGGGAGCACTGACTCTGACCCTCATTCATGAAGAAACTTTCCTAGACTTCAAGATAGACCAGAACCCACAAAAGTGTGAAATAGATTATGGAGAGCAGTGTAGGTGTGTCACTTGGTGAGAAATTTAGGGTTTGGGATTTTTGCTATGTTGTGGATGGGAGCAAGATGGAGGGCACAGGGTGTTGTCCTGGGTTTCTTCTTCATGCTGCTTCTTCCTTCTTCTTCATGGGTTTGGGTGGCATTTTGTACTTGGGCAGAAAAGTCCACATTGGGGCTCTTTGGGATCAGTTATTGGGTTAAAAGGGAAAATAACCTAGGAGTCAGTTCTTAATTGGATAGTTTAGTCTCAAAGACCTTGGAACAAGAGATTGTGGCCATTTTGTGCCTTCTGATGAAAAGCTGAACTCACAGTAGTGAGACTGTTTTACTGATAAGGAATAATAAACACCTGAGTCTGAACATGAAATACTGCCTCAAGTGCCTTCAGTGTAGACCCAGGGAAACCAACAACTGGAACCACCACAAGGAGGCATGTGGTCAGAAAAAGGCCAGGCTGTCCTCAGGGACTCCAGGTGAGGTGAAATCCACTCTGACCAGGGAACTCTCAGGGTTTCATGTTCTTTCTGCAGCGATGTGCTCAGGAAATCAATTTTGCTTAAGGACAACCCTTTCCAAAAGGCACTAAGAGGGAGCAAATGCTGGCACCCATCACATCTCCAGGATGGATTCCAGGGTTGGAATCCCAACCCGACAGTTCTGCCAGGGCTTGGTGTATTTTTGTCCAGGATCATCTGGGAGGAAGAGGAGAACTGATGATGTCTGAGGCTTCTGCTGCAGACTCCTGCTGTAAACGAGAGGGAGACTTGCTCGAGGGACTGTCCTGAATTGGAGGGACCTGATTGATGGGGATTTCATCTCTGCTGTGTCTTGCACAAACAGGGTCTGGGGTTTGCCTCCAGGAGCTGTCACATCTCTGCTGGTTGTCACAGAAACATCACCAGAGTGAGCTCTCAGGATTACACGGGGCAGAGCGATGTCCTCGCTTCCCCGCACTGCCGTAAAATCACTGCTGTATTCAAAATCCTCTTATGTTTATTACTTCCCCTTTATTCCTTGTGAGAGGTGGGAGCTCTCCCTGCATAATCCACAGGCTGCTGCACAAGCCCTGTTGTCAAATCCAGATGATTCCTGAGAATTAAAGCCTTTGCCAGATTTTTTTTTGTGCCTGTTAAGTACCAGGTGCTTTGAGGATACAAAGAGGTCGCTGGACCCTGAGCTGAGGGGGGACAGGGTCTGGCATGAGACATGTGGGTGGGCACAGAACCCTCCTTCCATAGAATCACAGAATGGCTTAGGCTGGAAAAATCCATTAAGATCATTGAGTCCAGCCATTAACCCAGCACTAAACCCTGTCCCTAAGTGCCACATCTACACATCTTTGAAATACCTCCAGGGATGGTGACTCTACCACTGTCCTGGAGGGCCTGTTCCAATGCTTAACAACCATTTCCTTGAAGGAATTATCCCTATTATCCTGTCTAAACCTCCCCTGGTGCAATTTGAGGTTGTTTCCTCTCACCCTCACATCTGTGTGTGGTGCCAGCACTCGGCCACCACCCCCTTGTGCCACTCCCAGCCCTGGAGAAGGGGATTTGTTCCCTTGATTTCAGTAAGAAAGATACTTCTCCACCCAAATTTGGCTGGCCAAGCCCTGGGACAGATGAGTTCCCATCTCACACAGGGATACAAGAGCTCCACCAGCATGTAGGACCAGTAGGATCCAAAGGGACAGATCCAATCTCTAACGGGGCCCTACATCCCACCCTGGGGAAGGGCTCCATCTGCCTCCTGCCCTAATTGCTCTTGGGTAATTAGGAATTCAGCACAGCTCCAGCAGTGCAGGGGGATGTAGCCAGGAGATGGCAGTGGTGGCCAGGCCAAGCCAGGACCCCTGGCCGGGGCAGGGGAAAATGGTTGGAGACTTAATCCTTGTGCCTTTGGGGTTAGAAGCAGCAGAGAGGGGAATTAAGTGGCTTTAGACATCCTGGTTTGGGGTTGTGCAAAGGAGCAGGAAACAAAACTCCCCCTGGATGCAGCTCTGCAGGAGCAGTGGGAGTTCAGGTTGGAGACATGAGAAGTTCCATGTCCCCATCTGTAGGGATCTGGCTGCATCCCTGACAGAGACACCAGAGCTGGCCTTATGATCTTCAGGGTCCAATGCTCCAAAAATCATTCTTAATATGTCCAGTAATACCAAGGGCTCGTGTTACTTTTAAGAGGCATCATGAAGTTGTTAATTCCACAGGTGAAGAGCAGGCAAGGAGCAGGACTGGGATCATGGCTCATCCTGGAGGAAACATCCCAGTGCAAACCCTTACTTAGGCAACCAAAACCAGCTCCACATGTGAGAGAATGTGCTGGGCTGGTGTGTCTTCAGTCTTCACCTCACCACGAGGCTCTGGCTGCTCTCCCCTGCCCTGGGCTGGTTTTTCTTCTGAATTCACAAATGTTTTTCCAAACTATTCTTGTATCCAGGCATTAATTTGGGTCCAAAAACTCAGTGTAGCTGCTCTTCTGCAAAAGGAACTGAGGGTGGTGGTGGGAATCCTCTACAGCAGCACTGCTGACCAAATACCTCCCTTTGCCAGCATCACCAGTTTGCTTTGGTGGCCGAGGCTGATCCTGGGTGCAGAGGGAGGCTGAGGTGGGAAGAGTGAGGGGGGACACAGCACTGCTGGTTTCCTTGATCCTGGACTGTGGAACAGCTCCAGAGGTCCCAGCCCAGGCTTCTGCTGGTGTTTTCCAGCTCTGTTTGGAGTCTGCTGATCCAAAAGCTCCCTTGGTTGTGTGGAACAGGCAAAGACTTGGGGCATCAGGGAATTTCATGGAGCCCCTGATTGCTGGAGCTCAGCCTTCCACCCAGTCTTATTTATTTTCTGAGAAATAACTTGATCTAAAGATACACAAGCCATCTCTGGCAGTTCCTGCTCCCTGGGTGAAGCAGCTGGATAGAAATGGGAGACAGAAATGTCCTTGCTGTCACAGCATGCAGAGGTCCCATGGGTAGCCCTCATTATGAAGGTCCTGGGGTGACCGCACAAGGAAACTGAGGCACGGAACAGTGCAGATGCCCAGGGAGCAAGGACATCACAGCAAGGTCTTCTATTGAGAACTGGTCAGTGAAAATAGTCAAAAAAACCCAAAAAAGAAGCTTAAAAATCCATCAGTTTATGCCCTCCCCCACAAAAATGCAGAGCCACAGACTAGAGGTGACCACAAGAAGTTCTACAACCGTTTGCATCTTCACTGTGGCAAAAGTTGGGGTTTTTGTAGACATTGACCCCAAGCAAATAAATTTTGGGGAGAAATCCTGCTACAGCATGGCCTCAGGACCACTCACCTGGGCGTGGAACTGGTCAAAGGTCATGACAGGCCCGAAGAAGAAGAACGGGAGGTAGAAGTTGTACTTGAGGAGGTCGAAGATGGAGTAGATGCCCTCTGCCTTCTCGGAGCTCTCGAGGGCGAAGCTCATGCAGCGCATGATGGTGAAGGTGCAGCCTCCGTAGAAAAGGACATCTTGGAGATCAAAAGCTCCCGTCACAAACCCGCTCTGGGCAAGAAACAGAGAGTTACCAGCAGGAACGCGGCGTCCCTTCTGTGCTGCCACGCTTTGTGGGGGACACCCTTCCTGGGGCTGTTACAGACATATTGTATGAAAAATCCTTTTGCCAGGATCTTTTTCTCCTGAGAAGCTGGGAACCTTCAGCTTCTCCACGTTTTGCTGCTTTGGAATGTGATTTGGAGAATGGTTTACGCAGCACATGAAATTGTTTTTACTTGATGACCAACGACAGCCACCTGTGTCGAGGCTCTGAGCAGTCACAAGATTTTATTATCATTCCTTTTATTTCTAGCTTTCTGATAGATCCTTTCTCTCTATTATTTTAGTATAGTTTTAGTATAGCAATATAATAGAATAAATATAATAGAACATAATAAAATTAATATAATATATCATAATAACCTTCTGAAACATGGAGTCAAAATTCTCATCTCTTCCCTCATCCTGAGACCCTCAAAAACAACCATATGGGGCAGCAGAGAATTGTGTGGGTTGAGAGGACATTAAAGCCCATCCAGTGCCACCTCTGCCATGGCAGGGACACCTTCCACTGTCCCAGGGTGATCCCATCCAGCCCGGCCTTGGGCACTTCCAGGAATCCAGGGGCAGCCACAGCTTCTCTGGACACTCTATGCCAGGGCTCCTTTTCCACCCTCACAGTGAGGAATTCTTTTCCTGACATCTCCTCTAACCCTAACCTCTGCCAGTTTAGTTTTCAGTTCAAGGAAAACCTCTAATTATGCTCTGACACCAATTGTCTCTGAAGTTAATGAGCTGGAAAGAGAAAACTGGGGCTTGATTTCCCAGCTGGCTCCTGCAGCTCAGAGCAGTCAGGAAGTGGTGGATCCTCTTGGCCATGTCACCAAGCAGCTGTTGGTCACACAGCTTTGGTTTGGGTGGCAATGTCACCCTGTCACAGCTGTGCCCACAGAGTAAAGCAGAGCCAGCACGGGGTTGATGGAGAGGGAGGCAACACATCTTTGGAAGCAGGGAGAGACAGCAATGTCCTCCTGAGGGACTGAATATTTTGATAAAGTCCTTCTTGGGCTTCTCTCTGCCCACCAGTGAGATAAAATCTTACCTAGGCTGTGACCCAAGAGATGGACATCACTGGATCGATCTCAGCTCTGTTATAGCTGGGGAAACTGAGGCATGGGGCAGCAACAGGCTGACAAATTGCTGTCTGTGCAGCGAGAAGGACTCAGATGTCCTTTGTTCTGGAGCAGCATGAAGCCACCAAATCATGACATAAGCACTGTGGGATTATGCCCAAGCTCACACCTCAACACTCCCTGCCCTCTAAAATGCTGTGAGAGCTCTGATGCAGCCAGGAGAAATAGCCAGGGCTCGGGGCTGTCCCAGGAGCCCTCTTTGGGGATGACCCCGAGGAGTTGGACACCAGAGGGCTGGAAATGAGGCAGACACACGGCCAGGACAGCACCCACCTGCCACGAGCCAAAGGGCTCCACCTTGAAGGAGGCGAGGCAGCAGAGCCCGGCCACGTAGCAGAGCCACTTCTGCTTGGCCAGGGCCACCGAGTAGAGGAGCAGGCAGTGGGAGAGGATGATCATCAGGTAGACCAGCCCCATGCTGCCCAGCACAGCCAGGAGCCCGTAGATCATGTACATCACAGCCCGGTGCTGGGGAGAGAGGCTGCGGTCAGCGTGGTGAAAGCCCCGAGCCCAGAACATCCCCCAAAACCCCTCCCAGAGATCCCAGGCCACCCCTGGTGCTCTCAAATCCTTGCCAGCACAGCCCTGCTCACCTGTGGCACGGTCATGGAGCAGATCTTGCCGAAGAGGACGTGTCCCGAGAGGGCGAAGATGATGACGTTCCTGAACGAGGTGAACCACATCACCCACTCGAAATCAGCCACGTCCTGCAGGAGCAGCACCAGGCACTTCACTGCCCCCAGCTTCACAACTTTTAGAGCTTTTTCTCCCCATTTTCCACCCAAGGGCTCCCGAGCACTTTAGCTCAGACATAAAACCCCAGGAGGGACGTGCAGAGGTCGCTCTGCTGCACTCAAAGTGGAGCATCCACAGCCCTGCAGTGATGCCTCAGGTTTCAGCTTTTATATTTTTCCAATTCTGTGCTGCTTTAGTGTGCAGTTCTGGGCTTCACATCAGGGCATGGTGAGCTCTCTGCACAGAGCAGGGAGACAAAACAATTCCTGCTCCAGCTGGGCACCAAGGACAAATGATCCAAATCTCAGCCCAAGAGCACAAACCCCGTGGGCTGGAGAGAGAAAAACAAGCAGGATGGGAGTGCAGGGGCTGAGCTGGAATTGGACACTGAACTGCAATGTGCACATGGAGCAGAGCTGATCCCAGGGAGAGACCCCGTGAGCGCTCGTGCATTTTGGGACCATTTGGGTTCATCTTGGCTGCAGCCCTGGCTGGGCTCTTGTGCTGCCCAAGGTGGATCCATGCAGGAGATCCTTTGAATCAATCCCTACTTTATTCTTTAACTCCATCTTTTCTCTGTTCTAGGCCAGCCTTCACAAAGCTTCAGCAGGGCTGGTATTTTCCGCACTACTTTAGGGAGAAAAATACAAGTCAGGTGTTCCTCACAGAAGTGTGTCAGTAGCAGAAAAACCAGCTCTCTTTCTCCACTGACCAGGCTGTCTGTAGCTAGAAAAGCCCAAGCCCTTCCTCACTCACCATCTTCCTGCCAAAGTAGTGCCAGCCTGGCTTTATGCCATCCCGAAAGGCTTTTCTGTTCATGCTGTCTGCAAAAGAACCAGAATTACAGGGAGAGGAACAGCTCTGGGAAACAGGACCCAGGTTCAAGCCAGGCCCAGAACCTTCATCATTGAGATAATGAGCCACCAGGGCTCAAATACCCCACCCCAAAAGTGCCTGATTGCCACGGACAACTAAAAGAGTCAATGACATCAGGTTTCTGCAGGAATTTTCAGCAAAGCCTTTTTCTCATTACACATTCCCTGGCCAATCCCATCAAGTTTTTGAGTTTGTGGACTTCCAAACAAAAAAAAACAAAACAAAAAAAAAAAAAACAAAAAAAAAAACAAAAAAAACCCAAAAAAAAAACAAAAAAAAAAACAACAAAAAAAACCCAAAAAAAAAACAAAAAAAAAAACAACAAAAAAAACCCAAAAAAAAAACAAAAAAAAAAACAACAAAAAAACCCCAAAAAAAACCAAAAAAAAAACCCCACAAAAACAAACCAAAACAAGCACAAAAAAATCCAAAACCAAACCAACAAAAAAAAAAACCAACCCAAACCAAACAAAACCCCCAAAAATATACAAAAAAGGGAATCAGCCCTGTGCAGGCAGGGTGCTGCTGGTTGCCTGGCGTGCCACTACCTGGAGCCCTGTGACATCCCGCAGCCTCTTACCCTGAGCAGCTCAAACAGGGCCAAAGACACAACAGGGCAAAAACCCCTTTAAAAAGGATTTCCAAGGTGTTTTCAGCAACACTTAAAGCCGGGGATCTGCTGGTGACACCAAGAGCTGTAAAAGCAGGCAGCCGACACCCGGGGCCCCTCCCAGGGGACGCGGTGGCAGCGTTACCTCTGGATGCCTGGAAGATGCCGCTGCCGCTGTAGAGCACGGCACAGGTCACCACGAGGGCATAAAACCCCAGCTCGTAGCTGGGGAGCATCGCCTTAACCCCCATGGTGGGAGGTGAGAGCCCCGGCCGGCACCAGGGAGGGATCCGCACCTGGGCAAGGGAGAGAGGAGAGGGAGGAAAAATGGGGGTGAGAGCTCGCCTGCCCTCCTAGCCCTTCGACACCCTAAATTCCTGCTGCTCCTCCTTAGATCTGTTTTTGGGCTTCCCTGAAGGCTGAAGGGAAGGAGGAGAAAGTCACACCTGGGGCACAACTCAGGTGCAAAGAGGTTGCTGCAAACCCCAGCCGGGAGCTGGGATTTGGGGCCAGGTGTTCCTGAGGAGCTTTTCCCATCTATCCCGATGTTCAGAGCCGCTCCACGATGGGCTTCCTCCAGCGTGTCTCTGATTCCTGCTTGGATCCGTGGATGGGATCCAGGACAGAGCACGGGGACGCCTCTGATGGAGGGGACGCGATGGGTTTCTCCACCTCCCCGCTCACCTTGCCCAACCTCCGGCTCTTGAGGAGCCCCGTGATCCCAAATTTCCCTGCCAGGAGTCTTTAGGACCCCGCAGACACGGCTGAGCCCCCCCGGCGGCATCAGCAGCGCTGGGGGGATGGCGACACCCAGCCCCGCAATTAGCCTTAGGGCTAATTACTCCTCCGAGGTTAATTAACCTCGGCGCGACGTGCCTTGCCGCTCCGCAGCCTCCTCTCCTTGCGTGGCCGGCAGCTGCCAAAACAGGAGCAGGAGGGATGAGAGGGACAGGGACAGGGGACAGGGACACCCCCAGCAGCCACCATCCCTGAGAGCGCTGGAGGGATTAAGGCAAAAAAAGCGCCCGGTCACCCTCTGCTCTGGCAGCCGCGTTGCACAGCTTCTGCGGTTATTAAATAGATAACAATTAAAATCATATTAAAATTATCGTTTTCGTTTGAAGCGTTTATTTTTCGTTTCTTTGGTCGCCGAGGTTTTTAAGTGTGGGGGTGGGGGAGGTCCTTGGCAGCGATGCGGGGTGACCCCATCTCCCCCCGGCGTGCACCAAACGCGTTTCCCGGGGGGAATTTCGGCTTCATCCCAGGGGGAATTTTGGGTTCATCCCGGGGGGAATTTCGGGTTCATCCCGGTGCAATTTCGGGTTCATCCCGGGGGGAATTTCGGGTTCATCCCGGTGAATCTCGTGTTCCTCCGGGGGGAATGTCGGGATTTCGGGGGTCGCCCCGCGGTCACTCCGCTGCGGGCGCTGCCCCCGCTCTGCGGTGCCCCTGCGGCGGGAGGGCGCGCACGGAGGTGCCCGGAAAAAGCTTTTTCCCTCCTTTCCACGCTTTCCAAAGCTTCTTTTTATTATTATTATTTTTTCCCCCTTCTTTGGATGAGGCCACCCCGCCAAGGAGCGGGCGGCAGGCGGTGACAGACCCTGCGGGGGTTCGGGGACTGGCGGGGACCCCTCGGACGATTTTAACTCCTGATCGCTCCCGGGCTGCCCAGGGAGGCTCGGGGGGGTCCCAGCAGAGCCCTCCGTGGCATCAGGAGAATTTCGGGTTCATCCCGGTGAATCTCGTGTTCCTCCGGGGGGAATGTCGGGATTTCGGGGGTCGCCCCGCGGTCACTCCGCTGCGGGCGCTGCCCCCGCTCTGCGGTGCCCCTGCGGCGGGAGGGCGCGCACGGAGGTGCCCGGAAAAAGCTTTTTCCCTCCTTTCCACGCTTTCCAAAGCTTCTTTTTATTATTATTATTTTTTCCCCCTTCTTTGGATGAGGCCACCCCGCCAAGGAGCGGGCGGCAGGCGGTGACAGACCCTGCGGGGGTTCGGGGGCTGGCGGGGACCCCTCGGACGATTTTAACTCCTGATCGCTCCCGGGCTGCCCAGGGAGTCTCGGGGGGTCCCAGCAGAGGCCCCCCGTGACAGCAGGACAGCATCATCCTCATCATCATCATCATCATCCGCTACCCCGCCCCGCTCCCTCCCCGTCCCTCGGCCGGCGCTGGGGACACGCAGAGGTGACAGAAAGCCCCGAGGTGCTGTCACCACCGGCAGCGTGTCCCCCCCAGCCCCGCATCGCTCCCCGCTACTGACCTTGAGCCCCGGGGCCGCGGGGGGAGGCGGGCGAGGGTCGGGGATCCAGCGTCCGGCAGCGCGATGGGGACAGGAGGGGGACAAGGACAGGGGACAAACCGAGGGGTTTGGGGGTGATTGATTCGCCCTACAGCATCTCTCGGAGGGGGGCAGGGGTATTTTTTGTGCTGCCGTCCCCCACCTTGCCCCTGGAGGAAGTTTGGCTGGGAGTGGAGCGGAGCGGGCGGGAGGTATTTTTATTTTAGAGCAGCACTGCAGAGGGGGGTGGCTCGGGAGCTGTCTGTCACGGCAGCTGCTGAGAGGACCCGTGCTGCCTGCCAAAGCTCACCCCGAGCCAGGGGAGCCGGCCCTGGGAGCCCCCGGGCACGGCAGCCCCAGGCAGGGACCGGCTCCCTCCCAGGGGGGGTTTGAGTCCCCACTTTTAGCCCTGCTAGGGAGGGATTTCCCTCTTCACTTTGTTCCAAAGGGGGATATCATTGCGTGGGGATGGGGAAACTGAGGCACGGAGCCAAAAGGAAGTGTCGTTCCTTGGGCAGTGTTTAAATGGAAGTGAGGCTCGGGGGCTGCAGCATCTGCTGCCAGGTAAGAAGTGTCAGCACAAGAAGAAACGGACTCAAGATGTGCCAGAGGAGATTTATGTTGGATATTATTGAAAATCTCCTCACTGAAAGTGTTGTCAGGCACTGGAACAGGCTGTGCAGGGAAGAGGTGGGATCGCCATCCCTGAAGTGTTCCAAAAATCCCCTGGATGTGGCACTTTGGGGACGTGGTTTAGTGCTGGGTTAGCACTTGGATTCCATGATCTCCGAGCTCTTTTCCAACCTCAACGATCCTGGGATCTCTACAGAACACCTTTGGGGTCTTGCAGCAGGGGACAGGAAGGGGCAGGGCTGTGTTGTGGCCTCTGTTATCTCAGGGTGGGCAAACACAGCTCAGCCACGAGGAGAAGCCAGCACAGCCCCAGGGCCAGGCCTGTGCCCTGTGCCCACAGCTGTCCCCAAGCCCCTGTGACATCTGGGCACAGCTCACCCTGGGGCTGGCTCCCTGAGCATCCCCGGGCTGCCTGAGGGGTCAGCACGGAGAAACAAGGCAGAGATTTTATAAAAATGTAATATTTTAACAATTGTATGTTGTATAAATTTGGATTTTATGCATTTTTTGTTTGTTTTGGGCTGAGGTGCTGTGCTCTGGGAGGGAGGATCTGCAGCCCTGGGATCAGCCCCACTCTGCTGTTCCACTGGCTGAGAACAAAAAGGCTTTTTTGGCATGGTTTTGATTTTCACCTGCTGCACACAGAGAGGCTCTCCCCAGCCAGGGCACTGTGGTGACACTTCCAGCACAAGTGAAAAACAAGGTTCTCTCTCCTGTAAAAATTTAAAAGTTTAACAAAGGACAAGAGGAGAAAAAGACAATAAAGCAAAGATTTATGGCTGGGTGCTTGGGATTCAGCCAAGAGCACACCTGCTGTTTTGGAAACACCCTTTATAAACCACTTCTATTGCATCAGCCTCTTACACATCCACAATTATCCATATTAAAACTTTCCCCCAAACTAGTTTACATGTTCTAAGAATTGTTTAGCATGGCTCCTCCTCAGGTCTGCCTTTTTAGAGCATTTAGTGGATTCCTTGGCTGTGGTTTTAGTCCGTTCCTGTTATCACCTTCAGTTTGGGCTTTGGTCTGTGCTTTCTACTGATGGCAAGTTTGATAGCTGGCATATCAGTAATAGGGGTCCTCTTCATATGTTCACTGAATGTTATCTCAACCAAGCAGGGATTTTAACACAAATATACTTACATCACTTATGTCACTGCTGCGTCCAACAGAAACAAAAACTATATTTTTATAACAAAGTTACTTTAACGTTATCCATGTAGCATCCATTTTAATATTTGTGAAAGGCCGATATTATAATATATATTTCTAACAATCTGGATGCAGCCCCTCGGATGCCCCAGCCCTGATCCTGCTGCTGCAGCTCCATCCCTGCCCGGGGACTCCCAGACCTCGCAGTAATTGGCTGGCTAATTAAGAGATCGGTGCAGATAAGCACGGCACACAATTCCTCAGAATTCCTCACAATTCCTCAGAATTCCTCCATCTCCCGGTGCCTGTGGCAGGCAGGGAGAGCCTCAGCAGGAGGGAAAATAAATCTGTGGACAAAATACAAATAAATTAATAAATAAAATAAATCTATGGACATTGGCTCGGTGTGGTGCTGGGGAGGTGCAGGGAGGCAATGAGGAAAAATCTTATTTTTTTCCTTATTTTTTTTTGTCACCCCATCGTGCTGCTCCCCCTGGGCACTGGCATCATCCAGAGAGTTTCAGGCAGATGATAGATTTTCACCTTCTTTATTATTATTATTATTTTTTTTTAATCCTGAGAAATCTGTAATCCTGCTGAATTCAAAGTGCAACACAAGTGAAGGGCCAAGGGTTTTTCATGAGGCTCTGGGAGCTGTGGTGATAAAAATAATTTAGCTTTAATTTATAGATATTTTAAAAAATTAAATCCCCTTGCTCCTGATTTCTAATAAAATAAGATTTATTTTTAATGTGACCAGGGTGTCTTGCTCAGCACTGGGGACATTGCTGTGTTTTATGGCCCCAGTGTTTATGGTTTTAAGCTTCTTCAAGTGATATTTTTTCAAATATTTGGGGGGTTGCTGGAAGTTGTGGCACAGGATTTGAGGCCAGGCCCGTCTGTAGTGCCTGAGAAAGGTGGTGGGGTTCCAGGAAAGGTGCTTGGCTCTGTCTCAGGGAGGCTTGGGACAAACTGGGGACATTAATGGGGGCACCAAACAAAGTCCCTGGCTGCTGGAGCAGAAATTTGAATGGGAAGCACAGAAGGTTTTAATCACAGACTCCTAGAATGGTTTGGGTTGGGAGGGACATTAAAGTTCCTCTAATCCCATCACTTGCCATGGGCAGTGAAACCTCCAGGCTGCTCCAAGCCCTGTCCAGCCTGGCCTTGGGCACTGCCAGGGATCCAGGGGCAGCCACAGCTGCTCTGGGCACCCTGTGCCAGGGCCTCAGCACTCTCACAGCCAGGAATTCCTTCCCAATATCCCTTCTAAACCTACTCCCTTCTATCAGTTTAAAGCCATTCCCCCTTTTCCCACACTCCATGTCCTTGTCTGGGGTCCCTCTCCTGTTCTCACAGGCCTCACATGGATTGTTTTTACTGCCTGAGGTTGTCCCATTGGGTTCATCATGCAAACAACACTGGGAACATGCCAATCCCACCAGGATGGCTCAGGAGAGAGGGATGTGACATCCATCCATCCATCAATCCATCCATCCCTCCATGTATCCCTCCATGAAACCATCCATCCATCCATGGATCCATCCATCTGTCCATCCATTCATCCATCCATCCATGGATCCATCAGTCCATCCATCCATCCATCCATCCATCCATCCATCCATCCATCCATCCATCCCTCCCTGTATCCATCCATGAAACCATCCATCCCTCCATGTATCCATCCATCCATCCATCCATCCATCCATCCATCCATCCATCCATCCATCCCCACCTCCAGATCCCCCCTCAGCACCCCCAGAATGGCTCTGCCCATCCCCCACGGCACCCACTGACCCCATCACAGCTCCCAGCCCCCCCAGGGGAAGGCTCTGAAGGAGGCTCCCACCACCTCCCCTCATCCAGCACCAGGTCAAACCCCCCTGCCTCCAGCTCCTCCCCTCACAATCCCCTCCCATTCCCCAAAAATGCCCCAAACAGGTGAGTGACAGGCTGGAATAAGGCCTCAGTTCCTTGCTGCATCCCCCAGATCCCTCTTCTCCCTGACCAACGAGCTGCTCCGAGCCCAGGATCCCTGCCTGGGGTGGTTTTGGAGCTGTAAGTGGAGATCCCAGGGATTTAGGTGGCATTTGTTGAGTGAGGCCAGCCTGTCCCATGGGAGCAGGGCCTGGAGGGGAGAGCATGAAGGGAGAGATGAGAAACCCAATACCCCTGTTGGCTCTGTCATGGCTTAATTTAGAGCACAGGGGCTCTGCCAGAGTGTTTTTCCATTTAAAGCTGAGCCTCTTGCCTTTTGTCCTGCACTGTGCCTTGCAGGGCAGTGGCAGCTGATGGCTGGGGCTGCTGGGGGGTCAGCAGAGCAGTTTCCAACTCAGTTCCCCTTTGCCACCAGCTTCTTCCCCATTTTTCCCACATCAAGGACTGAAACCCATCTCCTCCTGCCATCCTTGTCCTGCTTTGGAGCCTCGGGGAGGGCAGGAGCCACCCACAGCTCCACAGCTCTAAATTCCACCCAGGAAGGGCTTTGACCCCCCCAGTTGATCCTGTGCCCCTCATCCAAGCAGATCCCAGGGCAGGGAGAGCTCTCCTGTGTCAATACTGTTTATGTTTAACCACCCTAATGCAACTTAATTCATGTTACAGCCACTTTGGAAAGCTCTTTCCAGGTAAACTCCTGGCAACAGGCCCAAAGGAAAGGAGGACAATTCATCAAAGATCATTTATTCCCAGCAGTTCAGCTGTACTTTAAAACGGGATGCATCCATCAGGCACTTGATGGCTGCTCCATGGAAGAATTCTGCCCAGCTCCAGGGTAGGAGACAAATTTTGGCTCAGCCCAAGTGTTTGGAGAATTCATATTTGGAGTTAAGAACTGCCCAAATCCTATCAAAGAGTGCCCATAACTAAATACTGGCAGTAAAATTAACTGTACCCACCAGCCTGTGCCAGAGATGTCACCTTCAGCCTGTCACCACCATCAGCTGCAGTGAGAGGCTGAAAAAACTCAGAGCTTATCAAAAAGCTGCCTGGGAAATGACTTCTCACTGGAGGAGGGTTGTCCCAGGGAGGAAATGCTGGGGACTCACAGTGCTTTTATCTGAGAGAGGCAAAACCATGGCTGGCTGCAAACTGGAACCAGAGAAACTCAAATTAGAATTGAAACACAGGATTTTAACAGGCTGGTGTTTATCCATGAGGGGAAAAAAAAAAAAAAACCAAAAAAAAAAAAACCCAAAAAAACCACTGAAAGTTCTAAGGGAAGCAGGGGGTTGTGGTCATTTCATATCAGCTGTATCCTGAAGGAAATGCATAAGTGTGCTGGAGAGATCCTGGGGCTCAGGATCTCCAGTGTGGGGATTTTTCAGGCAGAGAGAAAAATATTGTCATTGATTTTGTTCTCTGAGTGATGGGCAGGGGGCTGCTGCTCCCAAGGTCTGCCAGGGTTTCTGATATTTAGCAAAATGCTGCAAG